GTCAAACATGGCGTGCACACACTAGGACAGCAGGCACATATTTGCTCAAGGAGACACACAGGCACTCAGCTGCACCCTGTCCTGACTGGGTGTAGGCTATCCTGAGTTCACTTTTCGACCTCACTTGCCATAATTACACACCAATTTCCACTGCATTAGACTCCAAACCTGACACAGTCATCTCTGGGGAGTGACTAGGGGACAGATGGGAAGTGCTTTCATGTAGTAAGAGGAAGTGTGTGTGTGTGTGTGTGCGCGCATGTGCGCCGAGACCCCAGGAAGTTAAGAGCTGGAGACAGGTGTTTTGCTAAGGGACTTGAAAACTGTTGCCAGGATATAGGAGTGGGAACTAGAGGGGTAAATAGCAAGTGTCCACTACGTCAGGTAAAGGGCTTGGCACAGTGCCTAGTGTGTGGCACACACTCGACCGAGTGGTCATGGGCACTGCCCAGCACAATGCCGCCAGCGCCTTCCTCCAAACCAAGGGCCACACTCAGAGCCCCCGTGACAGGTTAGATCCCTGTCCCAGTGTGTCTTCCTGCACTGCCACAGCTGTGGATGGCTCCCTCTCTTTGACCTGGGAGCTACCAGGGTAACTGACCACCCCAGTTGGCCTGGGCTGTCCCAGTTTTAACACTGAAAGTCCCATCACCTGAGAAGCTCCTCAGGCCTGGGCAAACCAGGATGCTGGTCACCCTGCCCCTTCTCCTCGGTCGGTTCCATCGACTGGACGATGTGAAGAAGATGCCCTGGGTCTGCCACTCCATCTCTGTCAAGGTATTCTACTCTAGTCATGTTCTGCCATTGCTTCTTGAAATGCTTTTTTCTGTCCCTTCCTCTCTCCTTCCGATTCTCCTGTGTTGTGTATGTTCATGCACTAATAATGTCACACATTTCTCTGAGGCTCCTTCCATTTTTCTTCATTGTTTAGATTTCTGATCTTCAGCTTCTATAACAGCTATTGCTTTCCCTTTGAGCTCACTGATTCCTCCTTCTGCCAACTTAACTACTGAGCCCCTGTAATGAACCTCTCACTTTGATTATTGTATTTCCAACTCCAGAATTCCCCTGGGTCCTCCTTTACAATCTCTATCTCCTCACTAATTTTTCTCTATTTGATGAGTCATCATTATCACACCTCTCTTCAGTGGTTTCCTTTAGCTTATTAAATGTATGTATGTATTTATTTATTTGAATGTTTGTAAGAGTTTATTTGAGTCAAACTGACGCTCTATGCTGGAGAGCAAGATCTCAAATGCTCCCTCATTAAACATATTTATAACCACTGCTTTGAAGTCTCTGCTAAGTCCAACATCTTGGCTCCTGTGAAGCACAATTTACACAGCAATAGAAGGAGTCCAGAACTGAAGCTGAAGGAGGGCTCTGTAGCTGACAAAGGGGGTGGATCCGAGGAGGTGCATAGACCTGAGGCAGGCCAGTTTGCAGGGAACACGGGCAGCCATTCATTGGTGCTCAGGCTGCAAGACTGAGCTTACAAAGGACTGAGTTGCCTCCAACAAGGAAAGACCAGGAAGGGACAGGGAGTGAGGTCTCTGGTCTCTAGAGCCATGCCCCAGATGGAAATGACCTCTAGGTTTCACTCATACAAATGCTAGGTTTCACTCATGCAAGACTGGACAGTATACCAAAGGGTCCTGGGGAGGCTGGCGGGGGCAGGGGGCTGGGACCACCACCACGCTCGTTGCTCCCAGGCTGCAGTGGGACAGGACTGGATGCTGGGCTTTGACCACACAGGCACCCTCTGAAAGTCACAATACATGCCCGGATGAACAAGGTGGGGCTTCATGTTTCCCTTTCTACATACCAACTTTATTTATGCTATTCCATGGTCCTCCAAATCATTCGTCCGCTTTCTGTACTGATTCTACTAATCAATCTTCAATCTTACATAAGGTGTCAGCAGCACATCTAATACTGATATTCTAAATTGCTCTAAATTTTCTGAAGAAAGATATCTGTCCATCTGTGAATATTTGCTTATGCCAAATAGGCAGAACCTAAAGGAAAATAATCATTTTTCTATTCTAAGCATAACACTAACTTTGACATCATGTGACAACCCAGGGAAGCTCAGGAACTCAGTGGAGAAATTTACGAGGTTATAGGATAGTGGAAGTCAGGGAAACATTATGAAGACAGGGAGACAGAATTTTTTTTTTTTTTTTACTTTATGATCAGGAAACTGGCACCCAAAGTAAGAGTTGAAGTCTCTTGTCATTTGCTTGTTTTTGGGTAAGTCAAGGGTGGAGCTCGTGTCCCCTGATACAGCCTGGTTGTCCTCCCCAACAAGTCTGGAAATTGAGACATTGGAACTAGTCTCGGAAAGCCCAACTACAAACAAAAATACTTTATCTACTGTCCTTCCTAATAATTTAGAGAATCTATTAGTCATTAGATAGGTAGAAGTTTGATATTGAAGTTAGCAGATAGGTAAATTCAAGCTTTAAAGGAAGAGGTCATCTGAAGCAGGGAGGGGAAACAGTAGACATGCGAGCACCCAGCTGAAAACAAGCCTCCTCTCTGGAGTAGGTTTGGGGACACAAGGAAACAGAAACACTAAGGCACAGCCATGGCAAAAATAAAAGAGAAGGACAGATCAAAGAAGCAAGGATGATTACATAGCAGGTTGTCAGATATTCTATCACAATTGCTACACAGGCCCAAGAAGAGAGAGCAGAGGGAGGAGAGGACAGAAGATGACAGGACAGATGGAAGTCAAAGTGTTGTCATGGCGCCAGCTTCCAGCTAGCAACTTTTTACAAAATGAACAACCCTTTTGCCAGCCTTTTCGTATTTTCTGCTTATATTGATTTATGTAAATTGCCAGCATTTGAGAGTTTACAGATTTTCTCCATCAGAGTATCAAATGATTTCTTCATCAAATGATTAGGAAGTTCTTCATATATCCCTGACATACAGAGATAACAGCAGAGAGGGACTTCCATAATAAGTACAAAGAGAAGTCATTGAGTGAACCAGGAAAATATCCCTAGAAATGTCTCAGTTTCCAATCACTGCTTATTTCTACAACCCTTAGATATACCCACAGTGACTGGCATCAGGGCTTTATACGGGGTCACAATGCCTTTTTAAGGAGCAGTATGGAAGGGGCACCTGGAATATCTTACCCTACTCTATAAACAAGCCTGGTGGGAGAGAACCCCTAGGAGCAGAAGTGAAGCAGGATAATTTTTAGTGGCTTTTAGAAAACAGGGTAGAGTTGAGTGTAACTGCCACGCGGTCCCATGACACAACACTGTTTGCTCCAAAAAGGCCCAGTTCTGACCAGGATCAAGTACAAACTCCTTAATCGAGCATTGAATATCTGAGTCACAATAGCAAATCAGTCTTTCAAACAGTATCTCCAGTACCCATTAACGAGAGTCAAGGCTGATCTCCATCAGTGACCTTGATATTCACCAGGAATGACCTCCCCCTCTCCTCCACCCACATCTATGCCCACTTCAAAGCCCAGTTAAAGCCGCACCTTCCCCATGAAGCTGTATCTAAACAACGGGCCCCATTTCCCCTTCCTCTTCTTGACTCTGGCAGATAGTTTGAATACTCATTCAGCACTTAATACAGATATATGCCATGTTTAAACAGTTTTCTGTGACTGTAGCTTCATCTCCCAGACAAAACCACTAGTTTCATAAGGACAAGGTTGTAACTAGGTATAAATCCAATAGCATCTAGTACATGATGGATGCTCAATCAACATTTGATAATTGATGAGCGACTGAGCTACTGCCAAGCACAAGTTGAAAATTTGAGTCGATGGAGCCAAAAATATGTTAATTCCTGTGATGGTTAGCAGAACCTAACCATCTAAGATCCCAGAGTGAGCATCCTTTGAGTAACAAGCCCCACAGAACGGGTACTTGGATGGATCCAAATTGTCCAACACTCTGGAGGAAATTCTGGACTCTGAAAGCATCAGGGTTTCTAGAAGCTGCTAATTATTATTATATTTTTAGGTATTGAACTTAAGAGCCCTAAGAGAGCAAAACACCCACAGAGCCTCTCTAAAAAGGAATAATCACATGAATAGCTCTTTATATTTCCCTTGCATTGTCAAGTGGCTCTTTAAACAACCTAGAGAAGTAGAATGGGAAGTTATGCAAGACCCAGGGCACGAGGGCTGTGGCTCTTTAAACAACCCAGAGAAGTAGAATGGGAAGTTATGCAAGACCCAGGGCACAAGGGCTGACGCTGCCTTGTCACTCGTAGGTAGAAAGCATCCGCAGATTATATAATCCTGGGACATCTGGACTCCTTCACAAAGAGGTCTCCTTATTTTTGATTTTATACTTCCAGAGCTCCCAGTTCCACAAAAGATGTTGAAAGCTGGCATTCCAGGACACGCACACAGCTTTTCAGATCAGTTCAATCAATCAGATCGGTTCAGTGGAACCCAGTGGTCTCCAAGGATACGTGCGACGCCTGTAACTTACACAACCAACCCTGAAGCCCACCGACCTGCTCTCCTGCTGTAGCCACTAAGCCGAAAACCACATGGGTTTTTCTGATGAACCACTCCCCAACTCTTCGCCATTGCATTTTAGACTATGGAACTAAACCTTCACGGCATCAGCATCTGTGTTCTTTTCTCATGGCGGAGGACGCTGAACAGAAAGCTGCAGGGTGCCTGCCCTTGAAGGATGCCGCGTTCACCCCACCTGCCCATCTCCTATCCTCCGGGCCCCACACCCGACGCCTGGCCAAACTAGAGCCGGCCCGCCGCACGTTAAACCAGTCCCACCAGCCGGCCGTGAGCTTCCGGTTCCACTAAGGCGGAGGGAAGAGGGAGAGGCTGAGGCGCGCGGGGAAGGCGGGACTTAGTCTCCCGGCAATGGCCCCGACCATTGGCCGGCCCTGCAGCTGAAGCCAATGACCAGCTACCCAATTAGGTCTCACAGCGGTGAGGCGGGACTTGGTCTCCTGGCAACGGCCCCGACGATTGGCCAGTCCGACTGCTACCGAGGCCAATGGCCACGCCCCTGGCCAACGCTCGTCACGGCGACTGCGGCTGCGCGGGAGATTCGAATCGGTAGCGGCTCCTCGCTCGCGGCACTGGTGGGCTTGCTGCTGGCCTTGTCCTCTCGCCATGGATGACCCGGAAAACGCCTTCCAGTGAGTGTGGGTCTGCTGGGTGGGCTGGCGGATGCTAGGACACCTCGGGTTCGGTCCTGGGGTCTGCAGGCGCCGGCTCGCCGGCTCCCTCCTCTCTGCCAGTCCCACCCCTTTCCTGTTCCTTGAAGATTGTTCCCACCGTCGCCCCACCCGGGCTGTGGGCCACTTGGAGTCCTGGACAGGTTCCAACTGTGTGGCCGGTGCTCTCCGCCCAAACCCCGGCCTCGTCGGCTGGCCAAGGCTGCAGTGGCCGTTGCGGGATTTGGGGCCCTCAGAGCCCCGCTAGGAATTGGCCGGGAGTACGCACTGCGCATGCGCCGCTGAGAAAAACAAAAAAGTAAACCTGCGTGTAGGTTTCCTGAAACACACTCAAGGGCTACTTTTTTTAAAAAAATTGTACACAGCAGGGAGAAAACTCAGAACTGCTCTTACCCATCACCCCACAGTCATCTCTTAAAAGCCTTTGAATGACGTGTACTCTAAGGGTAAAAAAAACTACGCTTACTATCATTCATCTCAGCCTGCTGTCAGTGTTTAAAATTACCATGCCTTTGTTATAGGATTTAGACGATTTATCCCAACGGTTTCAAAAGCATTTAAAAGTTAAACCATATGTGACAGGGGTAAAGCTGGTGAGTTTTGTCAGCGCCGAGGTGACCTGACAGGGGTCAGAAGGCGGAGGTCGTTTAGGACAGTCCGAACAAAAATCTCTTTGCTCTAAGACTTTTCCTTAAAATTTAGAAATGATAATTTTTTAATTTTTAAAATAAGTAATATAGTTACAAAAAAAGATTTAGAAAAGTATTCACTAAGGTTTATACCTGTCTACTCTCTCAGCCTCTGACATGCTTAATCATTTTTCTAGTTTATTTTTCAAGTGAAAATTATTTTCACAAATATAAATGTTCATATTATAATAATATATTAATATATCTGTGTGTGTTACACTTTCTGCCTTTGTCTGGAATGTAGCACAGTATACAGTGCTTTTTTACTTAACACTGTCCTTGGAGAGTTCTGTCAATATATAGAGTTCTTCTTATTCTTTTTTACAGCTGCGTAATATTTTGTGTACCATGTTGATCTGAAAAGTACCCCCCTTGGTGGCTACTTGGGTGTTGACAGCCTCTTGCTATCACAAATAGTGCTGCAGAGAAAAATCTAACACCTGTGGCATTACACACATACACAGACGTATCTGGCTCTTCGATTCCCAGAGCGGGTTTGCTAAGTCAAAGTAAATCTGTCTGTAATTTTGGTAGGTATCACCAAGTCCCTTGGCAGGATTGAGAGTGCTCCCACCTGCAGGCAGGATTTCATTGCTTCACCTACGTGCTTGTTGCATCTTTGCCAGTCTGGTGGTGAGAAACTTACTCAGTGACTGAATTTCTCTTATGGGAGAGGTTGAGTATTTTTCTGTGGAATCTCTTTAGTTCATTTTTTAAATTGGATTTTGTTTCCAGTTTCTAGAAGTTATGTCTTGTTATACCAGTTTATCATTTCTCTTTCTACTCTGCTTAGTGTTTTGTTGGTTGGTTTTGTTTTACATGACAAGGACAAAATCCTCAGATGCATGGAATTACATCACAGCCGCCAGAGGGTGGAAGGAAGAGGCAAAAAGGGGTTAATCAGCAAACAGCTGACAAAATCGATGAAAGACTGCCCACACTCCTGAGGGTCTATCGGAATCACTAGTTCACTTCTGGGTGGCTATTTCCAAGGTTATCTAAAGGAGAGCGTGGCCTGGGACCCTCCTGTGGTTGGCACAGGAGCTTTCCTAGACTCTGCTGCAGCCACCCCAGCACTGGCCCCGTTCCCTCTTCTGGTACCCCTTTGTCTACAGCTACTTGAATCCTTTCAGAGCTGCTTCCATCTCCCTCCTTCCCCCCCCGCCCCCGCCACACACATACACAAACACACACATTTGGTGTGTAAAAACACTTACAAAACTCAGGAGGAAGGGCATGTCTTTCCTACCTAGCCACCCTCCTGGTAGTTAAAACTTCATGCCCCAGGACTGGTCTTCTTTTGCTAGCAATAGCCTAATAAACCCTTTCTTTTAATAAAAAGACTTTTAGCTGTGAAAGTTAAATTTTTTGTTACACACATGGAAACCCTTTTATTTTTATATAGTTGACTTTATTGAGCTTTTCTTTTGTGGCTTCTGGCTTTTGAGTCATAAGAAACATTGATCTCATTTGTATGCTGAAATCATACCTAGAAGTGTTGCTTTTACATCCTTTTTTCCAGAAATCTTATGATGAACCTGGTAGAAATCCTTGCAATCTTCCTTAGCGTGACTCTTCCCTCACACCCAGTGTGCAGTCCCACCAGCAAGTCCTATCATCTCTTTCTCAGACAGGCTAGGTTCCACACTTGGGTTGCCCCCACCACCATCAGCTCACTGTGTCACTGGGACCACAGCAGTTTCCTAACTGGTTTCCCACTTCTGTTCTCAATTCCCAACCCCTTCTTCATGTGGAGAGGCTGATTGAGCGTTTCAAAGTGCAAAATAGATCTTGTCACCCCACCCTTCTCCTAGCTCAGCACAGGAAACAGTTACATGGCTCCCTGGAAGGCAGTGATCAAATGCCACCCCTCAGAGGGACATGTCTTCCCTGACCACTGTATCTGAAAATACTCTTGCCCCTTCTCTCATTCTCCTCGGAGTGCTTAATGTCACCTGACATTATTCTGTATGTTTCTTTTTGTTTGTTTGTTTACCTCCCTTGCACCTGCACACCCATGGAGAACTGGCATTGTCTGGTTGGTGCTTCTGAAGCTGTGGTTGGACACCGGAAGCAGGCCTGGCATGGCCCCTGGGGAGCTAGAGTCGCTGATTTAGGAGCACTGCCATCCTGTGTTCTTTGCAGGGACATTGTGTTCCCTTGAGGCCTGGGAAGAACACTGTCTGGAAACCCCCACTGGTGCTACCTGGGCTCTCTCACACCCACTCACAAGCCTCTCTCAAACTCTGTCCTCCAGTCTCAGCCAGACTCCTGGGCACAGGGGATGGGAAGAGCTGAGTCAGGACCCCAGGGCCTGAGTCCCACCATTGGGAGGAGAAGCAGCAAACTTGTGGGCCCTACCTCATGGCCATGGTGGTGACATTGGAGATCAGTGGGAGGAGGAGGAGACTCTTGGGGGTAGAGCTGGGGATCCTCATCCCACTCTGTCCTTCTAGAGCTAAACTCAGGGGCCTTGGGTCTCACTTTTGTCTGGAAAACACTGCTTCTGACCACTCCAAATGAATGCTCTTTTCATTTTTATATAGCATTTGGATTGATATGTAAGATTTCCATTTTAAGGTGTATAAATGATAAGTACAAAATAAAATATATTTTCTGCTTTTAAGAGTCAGCCTAATATCCCATGTGTATATGTTTCTCTTTTTTAGAATGTTCGAAGCCCATATGCAGCGGTACAAGGGCGATGACCCACTTGGTGAATGGGAAAGGTCAGCATCTGGTCCATTTCTTCCCTTTCAACAACTGCGTGCTGCCCTGAAAACTAATGCTGTCCACATTTTCCTAGTTACATGCAGTGGGTAGAAGAGAATTTTCCTGAGAATAAAGAATACTCGACAACTCTATTAGAGCAGTTAATGAAGGAGTTTTTAGATAAGAAGAGATACCACGATGACCCAAGATTCATCAACTATTGTTTAAAATTTGTAAGTATATTTGTGGGTATGAGCAGAGAAGGGCCCACGGGCTTCCCCTACACTGGGCGGCCTAGACCTTCTAGCAGGTCGGAGGGACTTGGCAGCGGTCCCTGCGTTCTCATGCCTTTCACTTCCGGTTTCTGCAGGCTGAGTGCAACAGTGACCGTCATCAGTTTTTTGAGTTTCTGTACAACCATGGGATTGGGGCACGGTGCTCCCGCCTATATATAGCCTGGGCCGCACACCTGGAGGCCAGCGGAGAGCTGCAGCTCGCTGGCGCTGTCTTCCGGAGGGGCCTGCAGAGCCGGGCGGAGCCAGGCGAGCCACTGCGGCAGCAGTACAGGTAGCGTGCAGCACAGGTAGTATGCGTGTGGCTCCTGCTCTGGCCATCGTGTCTGCTCTGGAAGCAGGTTGTGGTCTCTTCTCGGGTGGAGCGTGGGACTGACACGAAGCGTGCAGGGGAAGAAACTGCCCAGAAGTACACTGCTGACATTTCACGTGGTTCCTTCCAGTGCCTTTTCTACACCCTGTGCACCTCAGTGTTTGCAAGTTACAGTGGTAAATGGGAACTGCAGGTCTGGTGTGTAGACCTAGCTCTACGCTGCTTTTAGGAAGTAAAGAGCTTTCAAATACTTGGAAAGGGCTGTAACTCTGTGTAGGAGTTATGCCACCTTCGAGCAGTTCTACAGTTGAACGTTGTAATTCTTATAAACAACATAATATCTTAATGAATAATTTTGGTTTTCATAGTTTTTTACTTTTTCTGTGATTAAATACACCTCATTTAGGGAATCTGCAAAATATAGAAAACCAGAACAGAAGAAACTTCCGGCATTTTAGTTGGCATTTTTCCCTCTTGTTTCAGGATTGCAATCATGCTTCGGGTACCCAAGCAGCTTTGTGTCAAGATCTTTTTCCTTCATCATAAAAGTATCTCATATTTTCTATTTTTAGCTAGTTTCTTCTGATAGGTTCTCAAAATTGAGACGGTTGAGTCAAAGGATATACATGGAGAGTTTTAAGAGTTGTACATGTCGCCAAGTTGCCTGCTGAAAAGTTCTGCCAATATTCTGCTGGCCCCTATAGCAGCAAATTAGATGGTGTGTGTCACTGTACCCTTCCAGTATTTAATATGCTCAGTTTTTTCATCTTGCTGTAGTGCACATGCTCTTTTTCATAATAATTTTGACTTTTGAACTTGTTTTTCTGTGTGGAATTTAAAGCAAATCTAAGACAGCAAGATATTTTATTCCAAACACTTCTTTAAACATCTCTAAAAGGTGATTTCTTACAGAGCCTTACACTATTTTCACTAATGAAATTATCAATAATTCTTAGATCTAATTTTCAGTCCTTCCTCATTATGTAATATTTTTTAACCATTGGTTCGTTTGAATTAAGAGTGAAATCAGATTTGGCACCTGGTTTCCTTTGGCTCTATGTCTCTTAGTCTCCTTATACTGTGTACTCCTGCTCACATCGTCCAAAACTGTCGGGTGTGGAAGTTGCATGTTACTTGACAAATTGAGTTGATGTGCAAGGTGCCGTGAAGTGACGTATTTAAGTTCTCACAGTAAGAACAATTCTATATCTGCCTTTGTAAGTAGCAGTCTTAGTTTGTGTTTTTTTCCAAACGTTAGATTCATTGTGTTCCAGGGATATAGCGTGCTTGAATAGAGGGTTCAAACACCTCAGGTTGAATCACTGGCATATGTGGTACACAGAGAAGGAGGGCACATTTGGTGTGTAGGTTTGAGAAGTACTGATATAAACTAGGCCAACAGAAGGATTTTCTAGTGTGAGTGTATTGGGTATGAAGATAATACTAGAATATTTTTTAAATTTTGAAGCAACTCTAAAATTCAACTTTACATTCTCTCTTGACCTCAGTCTTTACTAGCTTAGAATAGCTTTCTTATTTAGCTTTTGCTTTAATGCAAGTATGCATTAAACTGCAGTTTATAATCTGTATTGATTTTCAATGTCTTCTGTCATTTAGGTTATTTCAGACACGTGTCACTGAAACCCAGTTGCCAGCTCAAGGTAAAATAATGCTTTCTAAAATGTCAGAATTATTGATAATTTAGTCACTAATTTGCGCTACTTCTTTTTTCCTTAGGAAACAAATTCATCCACTATTTCTTGACTGTATTGTCTCAGGTAATAGAGAAGGCACTCTGCTCATACAGGCCGCTGAGCAGCTCTGGAGATCAGAACCTTAAAGAGCAAACCCACCAGAAAACTGGTGGTTTCATTGTGTTCTTAGGGTTAAAAAAAAAAATCAAAATTGCCCCAAATGGAGTACAGTATTTATTCTGGAGTCCATCTACTTTGAATTGAATCAAATGTGCTTAATGCAACTTTTAAAGAAAGTCATTTTCTTCCTTAGAAATAAAGATTACATTTCAGCAATAAGTGTGGACTGTCCTATCCTGTTGTTTAAAATAACTTGTTAGAGTTTTCTTTTGCATATTGGGCATTTTGAATCAATCAGAAAATTGTCTACACTATTTCTCTTATCTAAAAGGTGTTTTAGTTACACTTTGTGAGACAGTGTTAGATGAGCCGATTTATTTCTTAATGCTACTTATTGAAAAATTAGGAGAATGTATTCGTAACAGTTTTATTTAACATGGATTTTACCTTTATTTCTCTTTATTTCATCTCCCCCATAGCTAGAACCTCAGAACCTCTGCATGACGCTCAGATTTTAAACCAGATGATGACATCAAAACCAAATCCAGGAAATAATGCAGCCTGTGTTTCTAAGCTTCAGGTGACAATAACTGTGAAAACTGGGAATGGTATTGAATGGTCATCTGCTGCTTTCCACACCCACTTTGGCACCTCTTTTCCTCAGCCTTTTCTATCTATATTAGAACCTTTGTGGCAGCCACCTGCGCCTGTGACGACTGTGTGGCCTGTTATCTCCTACCACACACCTCCAGTATTCAATTTAAATGACTCATTGCCAGACCCACCTTTTGCATTTATCAGACCTAGGCACCCCTACCACACCGCCTCCTGGCTCCACATGCTCAGAGGCGCCCCTGTAGCTTCTCTCCTCCTCTGTCCTGCCAGCCACCCTCTCGTAGGCCCAGGGCCCCTCCCCAGACCTCACCCACCTGGAGGCTCCTAAAAACTCAGCTCTAAACATTGGTGGCAGTCACCTCAACTCAGGCTCTAACTCCAGGCAATTATATTTCCAGTTTCCCAGTATCTCTTCTGTTTCACTCTAATGCCAAACTATAGTGGTTTTAAACTTTTTTTCACACTCAGATTTGGGACTGGGGACTTGACTACCTCTAACCTCTCCCTCAGGGGCAAAAACACTATTTCAGTGAGACAGCCCAAGCCATTCTCATCTGATGACATCTGTCAGCTTTCTGCCACCAACCAATAAGCATAACTGTGTCCTCTACCGCTATCGCATTGGGGAAAGGTGGCTTCCCACCAGAGCTTGTCTTTTATCCTCCTCAAGACTTTGCCCTGTCGAGACCTTTTCTGCCCCAATGACTCAGTGACGTACAGAAATGCTCCTCTCTCTCGCTCAGCCTGTGTGTCTGCGCCTTCCTGCCTCAGCTGCCCTTTCAAACTGCTGGGACCTTCCCTAGCCAAGTCCAGTGGAAGAGGCTCTGTTGCAACTGCACCTGTTTACATTTCATGCATGTAGTACATCCCTAGAGGCAGAGCACACATTCCTGATTTGATAGGTACTCAAACTGCCCCAGTAACATCCTGCGCACACTTGCCATCATTTAGAGGTGACATTTTAGACAGTAGTGAGGGGTCTTGTTTACAATCACATTTCCAGGAACTAGCTCGGGACACGACATGTAGGGGTGTCAGTAAATACTAGGTTCGGGAATGAATGCTCACACTGGGAACTCCTGGGGATAATAGAAAGTGCCAGAAGAAAATGCTAATGATTTTTTAAATGTGGCATTTGGAATGTTAGTCCTGTAACGCTTAGGTGCCATGGCCTAGATGCTAGCCCTTCCCTACTACCAAGTAGAAATTTTGTACATCACTAAAGACTAATTGGAGTCTTTAGTTGTCGAAGTTACTGTAAGATTTCACTGTGCAAACTAAAGCTTCAGATGTTAATTATAATTTAAAAGAACACATCTAAATCTACTCGCTGATGAAGAGGCCCTTCAAGTGTTTTCGTGTTTCGTGAAATAATCTGGGAGCTGATTTCTATTCAGTTAAGTGAGTGCTTTATGCTTCTTTTTTGTCTTTTTAGGGTTCAGAAGCTTCTGGAGTAACATCTTCAGCTTGTGATAAAGAGTCGAATATGCAAGTACCATCAGTGCATTAATCTTTCCTTAGCTTCCCTCAAGAGCTGCTTTTGTACAGTGTTGCAAATCATGTATTTTTCTCCATTATAGGGAACAAAGGGTGGTCATGATTTCTAAATCGGGTTACTCTGCACAGCCCTCTCTGGCAGCCAGAGCAGACATCCAGCAGATGGTTATGTACTGCAAGGCAAAGCTCATTCGTGGGGACTCAGAATTCTCCTTTGAAGAGCTGAGAGCCCAGAAGTACAATCAGCGGAGAAAGCATGAGCAGTGGGGTACTGTGGTCTTCTTATTCACTTATTTTTATGTCACAAAAATAACCCTCGTTTCTGAGTGCCTAACATTTTTAAACAGATAGTTGTCTGTGCTAAAAGAATGCAAAGAAGGCTGCAGCACATCTATCAGAAGCCTGAACATCTTTGGTCAGTGCTTGTGTGGCAGCCTGGCTATCCAAGGGCTTGGAGGTGAACCAGCACGAAGCAGACAGCCACATCTGCGCTGCCTTAGCTTTTAGTGAAATAGGTGTTTTAAAATGATTAAACATTACCTGTATAGATTTGAACTTCTATATATAGCAACTCTAAATCACTGCGTCCATCATTGGTACTGTGAAGGGACTAAGTTAGGAATTGGAGTTGAGAAGAGATTTCCCAGGATCTGAAACACTACACGTTAGAAGGAGTCCTCTGATAAAGCGCCATGTCATTTCTGGCTGCAGAGTGCGTCAAGGTTCCCTCAGAGAAAACCGTGAATGTCAGCACCGCTGTTGGCACGTCCTTTGCTGTAATGGTGTGGACCTCGGAGGAAAATGAGCCTTTGTTCCACTCGGGGCTCACACCATCTCAGCTGCTTGCGCTATGGTCACTCTGTCAGCCTTCCTTTTATGTTTCTAATTTCTCAATCGGTCGACACCTGAGAGAACTGTTCACACTCATGGAGGACCCATTTTGTTCCATGCACAGATAGATACATTTTTCTTTCACACACTATGACCTAAAGTCTTAGGCGTTTTGATTTGTATGTGACATAATTATGTTAACGAGTCATTGGAAGTGGGACTACCTGCAATGTACTTTGCTTTTATTTCTTCTTAGAAAGCATCTAAAGATTTATGACTTTTAAAAACTTCCATTTTCAAATGATTTCCACAACCATGTTTGTTTTGACATTACCAAATATTATTGTTGATAGACATGTAAATTTTCGTAACTTGTATGCCCTGAACTTAAAAGTAACCATGCCGAGGACAGGTAAAAATTATAATTAAAAGGTGAATTCTTCCACATTTCACAGATGAATTCTACCAGACATTCACAGAACAATTAACACCAAACCTGAAGCTCTTCCAAAAAATGGAAGAGGCAGGAACACTTCCAAACTCACTCTAGGAAACAAGCATTACCTTGATATTGAAACCAGATAAGGACGCCACAAGAAAAGAAAATCACAGGCCAGTATCCTTGACGACCATAGATGCAAAAACCTTGAACAAAAATATTAGCAAACCGAATTCAACAGTACATTTTTAAAGATCATACACGATGATTAAGTGGGAATTTCCCCAGCATGTAGGCATGGTTCAACATTTCGCAGATCAATCAACATGATACATCACTTAGCAAAATCAAGGATGAAAATCATATGATCATTTCAACAGATTTAGAAAAACCGTTTGACAAAATTCAACATCCACTTATAATAAAAACTTTCAACAAAGTGGGAATAGAGGGAACATACCTCAACATAATAAAAGCCATATGTGACAACCCCACAGCCAACATACTCTTTGGTGAAAAGCTAAAAGCTTTTCCTCTAAGATCAGGAACAAGACAAGGATGCCTGCTCTCACCACTCTTATTCAACATAACGTTCAAAGTACTAGGCACATTTAGACAGGAAAAAGAAATGAAAAGCATTCAAATTGGAAAGGAAGAAGTAAAACTCACTCTTTGCAAATGACATGGTATATATAGAAAAACTTCACCAAAAAAATGTTAGAATTAATCAAATCAGTAAGATTGCAGGATACAAAATCAATGTAGAAAACACTGAAAAATGAAAACACTGATTCAAAAAGATATACATACCCCATGTTTATTTCATCTTTCTTAATACCCAAGATACAAAAACAGTGGAAGAATGGATAAAGAAATTGTGGTTGACACACAAACACAATGGAATATTATTGTGATGAAAAAAAAGAATGTAATCTTGCCATTCATGACAACATGGATGGACCTGAGGGCATTATGCTAAGTGAAGTAAGTCAGAGGAAGACAAATCCTGTAGGACCTCACTTAAATATGGAATTAAAAAAAAAAAATTTGTAGATACAAACAACAGATTGCTGCTCACCTGGGGTGGGAGTTGGCATAATAACAAAATAACAAAATGGTAAAGATAAAAGGTACAAAGTTATTATCAACTTCCAGTTATATAATAAATAAGGCATGGAGATACAATTTACAGCATGGTGACTGTAGTTAATGTGTTGCATATTTGCAAGTTGCTAAGAGAGATCTTTAAAGTCTTCATCAAAAGGAAAATATTTTTGTAACCACACATGGTGACAGTTGATAACTACACTTAGTGCAGTGATCATTTCAGAATACATATAAATATAGTATCATGTCATATACCCAAAACTAATGATTTATATGTCAACTCTACCTTAATTTAGATCAATAAAAAGCAGAATAACGATAATACATGTTTCAGTTCTGATAACCTAATACATATGGAAAAGGTTAGTAAAACAATTGCCATCCTATGGCCTCGATTTAAACTGTGTGCAAACCATTTTTTATCTTAAAGTAAATGAAGACAGACATTACATGAAAAGGAAAGAAGCAAATGCTTTTGAAGAACAGCTATTGAAAGAGAAAATGGATGAACTTCATAAGAAGTTGCATCAAGTGGCGGAGCCACCACAGGAGAGCCTGCCTGCTTTCCAGGAGAGTCCTGAGGTGTGTGTGCTTGACACCTTCGGTTTCCTTTCTGTTTGCACCTTTCTGTGCCCTGTTTTTAGAGCTAATTCTAGTGTTAAATGTGCATTTACATGTTTATTTGTGTGTTTATATATTTATGTTTCTACTGGATTGTTTTATTTTTTTAAATTTGTTTGGATTTCCTTTTTTGTGTAATGTATTTTCCCTGGATAGTTCCAAGAAATTGTTAAAAGAATTGTCTCATTTTCTTTTGCTGTGTTTTCTTGGTACTTACCAGTCCTGTATCCCCACACTCTGAAGAGACTGGACGTGCCCTTTCATTATGGTCAAGTGCATCAAATACATGCTTAGTTTCATTTTCTTTGGCCACACCCCTCCCAGAGCCTTCCATCTTTGTCCCCCAGGCTGGCCTGGGGCAGCCATCTTCCCCTGGTTCCTCCTCTGTGGTGTGTCCCTGTTTGTTTTCTGGGCCCCTTGTCACCATCGCTCTGTAACTCGCCCATTTTGGTGGTGCACAGTCTCCAAGAGTTTTTTGTAGAAATGCAGTGTGAGGGTTGTTTGAGCTCTCTCGCACATCTAAAAGCAACTTTATTCTACCCTCGCACTAGGGTGATAATTTGGCTGAGCATGGAGTTCTGGGAGGCAGTCACCACGTCCCCTCAGATCTTAGAAGGCACCACTCCTGCCTTCTGGCTTCCTTGTCTGTGTTGAGAAGCTCAGAGTCATTCTAGTTCCTGCTTTTTGGAACGTGCCCGCCATTGTCCTCTACCGTGCCGGTGGCTTCCCCAGAACGGTGACATGATGATGGTGTGCTTTCCACCTGTTACGTTCAGTACCTGAGCATTTTGGTCCCACACTTCTGGGGGATTTTCTTCATCTTTGTTTTGGGTGATAGTTTTTTCCTTGATCGTTCTGTATCCCCTGCAGCTCTGCTGTATGTTTTGCTATCTGATAGAGAAAATCTGATTATTCTTTTCACAAATATTTCTTCAGAATTGAATGTTATGATTATTTTTAATCTTTACTAATTTGGTAGGTGAGAATATGGTATAGGACATTTTTAATCTTTTTCGATGACCATTATAAACTTTTTTTTCAATACAGTTGACTTACAATGTTATATCAGGTGTATAGCACAGTGACTAGACATTTATATGCTTATGTAGTCATCTCCCAATTAGTCTAGTACCCACCTGACACCGTACATAGTATTACAATATTACTGACTGTATTCCATGCGCTGTATTTTACATCATGTGACTGTTTTGTAACTGCTAATGTTTACTTCTTAACCCCTTCACCTTTTTTAGCCAGGCCCCCAAACTCCCCTCCCATCTGGAAACCATCAAAATGTTCTCTGTATCTCTGAGTTTGTTTCTGTTTTGTGTGTTCATTTATTTTGGTTTTTAGATTCCATATATAAGTGAGAACACATAGTATTTGTCTTTGTCTGATTTATTTCATTTCACAATGATTGATAGGTATGCAGTTGTTGCCATTTTAATAATTGCTTTCTGACAGTTTTTGTAGTTCTTCTCTGTTCTTTTCTTCTCTGGTATGTTGATGACTTTCTGTAGAGGTCTTTTGCATTTCTTTCTCTATTTCTTGTATCTCTCTTGTAGGTTTTTGGCTTGTGGTTACCATGTGCTTCACATATACCAAGCTATGTCTACAGCAGTCTGTTTTCAGTTGATGGTCACTTAAGTTCAAACACATTGTAAAGTCACTACCATTTTTACTCAACCCTTCATGTTCATGTTTTTGTTATTTTTTACTTCTTTTGTGTATGTGTTTATATGGATCCCTTAATGTACTGTTGCAATTACACATGACCTTAGTGCTTTTGCCTTTCAACCTTCGTACCAGCTTTAGTGTTGGTCGACCCACTGCTTTTAATATGTGTTTGCCTTTCACAATGAGAATTTTTTTCTTTGAGATATTTTCTTATTCATATTTTTTATTTTTTTTATTTTTCTTAAAGAAGTCCCTTTAACATTTCTTGTAATATCGGCTTCGTGGTGATGAACCCTTTAGCTTTTTCTTGTCTGGGAAGCTCTTTATCTGTCCTTTGATTCTAAATGATAATTTTGCTGGATAGATGAATCTTGTTTGTAAGTACTGGGTTTTCATCGCTTTGAGTCTTTTGTGCCAATCTCTTCTGGCCTGCAAAGTTTCTGTTGAGAAATCAGCTGACAGTGTTAATGGGAGCTCCCTTGTAGATAACTGCTTTTCTCTTTCTGCTTTTAAGATTCTCTCTTTGAATTTAACCTTTGGCATTTTAGTGATGATGTGTCCTGATGTTGGGCCTCTTTGGGTTTATCTTGTTTTGGACTCTACTTCCTGGACTTGTATGTCTATTTCCTTTGTCAGTTTTGGGAAGTTTTCCGTCATTATTTCTTCAAGTAGATTTTCAATTCCTTGCTCTCTGTCTTTTCCTTCTGGTACCATTGTGATGTGAATGTTGGTACCCTTGCCCTTTAAACTACTCTCATTGTTTTGGGTTCTTTTTCCTTTTTTCTGTTCTCATTAGGTGTTTTCTGCTACCTTATCTTCCAAATGACTGATTTGATCCTGTGCTTCATCTAATTGTTGACTCCATCTAATGATGTATTCTTCATTTCTGAGATTTTTTTTATATTTTCTATCTCTAGTTTTACGTTTCCTATCTCTTTGTTAAAGTTCTCACTGAGTTCCTTTACTCTTCCCCTAAGTTCACTGAGCATCTTTATAACCAGTGTTTTGAACTCTGCATCTGATAGATTACTTATCTATCTCCATTTTGTTTAGTTCTTTTTCTGGAGATTTGTTCTGTTCTTTAATTTGACACTTGTTTCTTTGTTTCCTTATTTTGGCTGCCTCCCTGTGTCTGTTTCTATGTATTAAGTAGAACTGCTACTTTTCCCAATCTTCATAGAGTAGCTTTATGTAGTAGGTGTCCTGTAGGGCTCAGTGGCACAGTCTTCTTGGTCACTTGAGCTGGGTGCTCCAGGAGTGTCCTTTGTGTGTATTGTGTGTGCTTTCCTCTTGTAGTTGAGCCTCATTTGGTGGTGTGCCAGTGGGTGGGACTGACCCTTGGGCTGATTGGCTGTGAGGACTGGCCGTGACTACAGCAGACAGAGCTGATGTGTGGGAGCCAACCCCATGGAGTGGGATTCGCTTTGGCTGTGCTCTGGTCCACCCTTTGTTTGTGTCATTTGTGGCACTAATTGGGTGGTGCTCTGGTGTGGTCCAAAGCTTGCTGCTGGGTGTGTTGGTTCTGGGTCGTCTTGGGAGGGGCTCAGGTGCTGCCTGTGTTCAGCCAGAGCCACCTGGTAGGAACAGCAAGGTGATATGCAGTTGGTAGCTGCCAGTGCTGGGCTTAGAGGCACTTCGGAGAGGCTATGCTGTGAAGCGAGGCCGGCCACTGCTAGTGCTAGTTTGGGGGCCGCTTTGCCAGAGGCATAGGGCATGCCGAGGTCATCCACTATTTGTTTGCACTTTGTGGACCTTTGAGAGATTTTAGGAAAGTTGCAGTGCTGGCAGATACTGCCACTTACGAGGAATGGGCACTGAAAAAGTTGAGTGGGGCGAGGTCGCAGGGAATCACCAGGCAGGCAAGAGCAGTTATTATAGGTTAATACTCATTTTTGATGGCTGCCTGCACCTGCGGCTGTGTCAGAGGATGGCTCAACAGGGACAGTGGCGCTTTAGTCTCTGAGAGAGCTGCCCCCCCAGCCCTCACCCTGTGCCAGACAATTCAGTTCCTCCCCTTACTCGTCTCTGGCCTTTCCAAGTTGCTTGCCCTTCTCTGGAGCTCGGGGTGAGTGAGAGCAGGCAAATCTGTGCAGGCCCTTTAAGAGGACACCCGGGCCTCCAGCCGCTCTCTGTGTCACCCGGACTGAGTCCCTGCTGGTTTTCACAGCCAGATGTTGTGGGGGACTCCTCTTCCCAGCACTGGTGGTCTGGAATGGAGAGCCCAGTGTGGGGCCGGGACTCTTTGCTCCTCAGGGAGAACCCCACCACCAAGATGTCCTCCTGATGCTCAAGTGCCCCATGTGGGTGTGGGGCCGCCAGGTCGGTGCCTCTGCATACCACCTCCCCCAATCTCAAAGTGGCTTCTTCTCCGTGTCCTTAGTTACAGGACTTCTATTCATCTGGGCTTCAAATGCTTCTCAAGGGTGGTAGTCCTGTAATGTAGTTACAACTGTGATGTGGTTGTGGGAGGAGGCGAGCACAGCATTTTTCTGCTCGGCCATCTTGGCCAGAACCTGTGAGTATGTCCATTTGTTGGTGAAATAGCTAGTTTTGCTCTATATATTTGATGCTTTTCTTAATAGTTTGTGAGACTACTTTTACAGGGTGAGGAATTTACTCTTCTGTCTTTAACTTGGTAACATAAAAGTATACAATTATAGTCTAAGTACACTGAGTAGGAAAGCAAAGATTCTAAGTGAAGAGCTTGCCCCCTGTCCCATGTGAGCCGTGCTTGTGTGGCAGGTGTAACTGCAGCTTATGCTCATGTTTCCTGTTCATTAGAGAGAGAGTAGCTACCGAGGATATTTTAACAGAAAGGACACCATGATGAACATTTGATAACATTGACTTGTTGGTCTTTTCCTAGACTTAAGTAAAGAGCAGTGAGACTGGTCTTAGACCCTGATGAGCAGCGGTCAGAAGTACGAGCTGCCCATCGAGTCTGTGGTTGCCCATAAGAGCTCCATGTGGGGACTGGTCTCTGTCAATGTTGCCTGTGCATTGCAGAATAACTCCAGGGGAAAAGGACCTCTGAAGACAGATGCCAGTGTTTGAAAGCTGTAATAGCTAGTCACAAGTGCTGTACACTTCATGGCTTTGCTTTCCTTTGTTTGCTTTCCATGAAAGGTTGACCCACTGTGCATGGGGCCCAGTGTCGGCTCCAAGCAAGAACCGAGTACTCGGTCTCTGCCGGCTATCACCCAGCAGACTTCAGAGCACCTGGGACAGAGACCCAGAGAGGCACCTCCAGCTGTTCCTCCTGAGGCAAATGCTATCACTGTAACTTTGGTGTCCCCAGCTGTCAGCCAGAGTATGATTCCTGCTCCTTTGACATCACAGCCAGTGACAGACTCCATGTTTGCAGCAGCCGGAAAAGATGCCAGGTGAGCCAAAGCTGCTGCTAGAGCTGCCAGTGCTGTGAATGGGTCTCAACCCTGGCACGGTCTGTGGCACTGGGGCAGGTGTAACAGACAGTGGTTCCCGTGTTGAATTAAACCAGGCCACTGAAACGTTAGCCCCACCTCTTGCAGATTACTTACTTTTCAGGCTTCTTTTAGAGCATTTTACTTTATACTTCTTTCCTGAGTTAAAAATTTTCAGTATGCTGAACTCAACAATATTTGAATACCCAAAGGCCATATAGCTGTTAAACCAAAACTGCCTTTGCTGATGGACTTCACCTGAACACATGCAGGGATTGTTGCAGTCCAGGCAATTCCTAGACACATGGTGTCCTCTTCCTTCTGTCTTCCTACCCAGAGCGGTGTGCGATGAGCACCCATGGCTGGGCCAGGGTCTGTCCAGGCAATGCTGCAGAGGCGCCCCAGTTCTCAGGGATTTTCCTAGAGTTCTGAAATGATGGTGTTACGTCACTTGTTTTCTTTAAATTTTTATCTTCAGCCTCTCTCTCTCTCAACAGATAACAATTTCATCGATCCATTAGAAAAAATAAAAGCTACAGTGTAGCTCACACTCTCCCATTAGGTAAAGCCCTCAGCACAGATTGCGGTCCTTAAACGCTGATTCGTTGGTATCCAAGGTTAACATCTGTCAGTGATTTCTCCCAGAAACACGGTTCAGGGCCATCACGCTCTTTCATTCACATCGGCAGTCATTCCAACCTGGGCCCTGCATCTTGCCGTGTCCGTAGGAGGGCAGTTGAGTGGGGGCCACGACCCGTTCCTTCTTCACAGTTAATTTACGCAGCTGTGAAATGGCGAGCACAGCAGCCACGACAGGCCCCGCAGAAGTGATGTGCGTCTGGCTGCCCCTGCAGAGATGGAACAGTGTGGTTGTGAGAGCCGGAGACCACTTTCCCTTATAACATTGTGAAACTCCAACCTGGTCAACATTTGGGTCTCCATAAGAAGCACTTCAGATTGGCCCTGACCTTGGCCTAGGCCGGGACCTGAATGGACCCCCATGGCATTCTCAGCAGCCTGGACAGCTGACCATGACAGAGAAAGGGCAGGCACCTTTCTCTGGAGTCTCATATAAAAACTTGTGCTTTTATGACAATTTAGTGGGGATTTATAAAATGTTAAGTGCTTTGCAGTTTCTATCTTACACCTTACCAGGGTCCACTAAGAGAATTCTAGCAAATTTAAATAGATCCACTGTCGCAGTTGTACTTGAGCTGATATAAACGTCTTCTGTGCCTTGAGTCTTTCTTGATAGATGTTATGGTCTGGCGAACAACGCTCTGTGGCTACTGGCTCATCACAAGTGGTGGCCATGCAGCTGACAGCAGTACGTTCCCGTACCCTGACGGGGGCTTCATGGTAGCTCGTCAGCTGGCACCATAAGTGGGGTCATGAGAACGAGGAAGCCGCTGTCTTGTCCTGCCCTGCGTATAAAGGGACGGTTAGCACGGTGTTAAATGGCAGTGCCACTGTGTCAGGCAGACATTAGTACCTGGCTTGTGTCTGCGAGAATTATTTTCCTCAAGAGGAAATGAAAACAAAAATCAGACATTTTATTCACTTACACTATAGGCCTAAGCAGTTCCATCCATATAGTAACAACAGGCTTATAATTGCTGACGGTTTTTTCACTGTTCTTTCTTGAGAGTTAGTGTGTTTCAAAGAGTTTTCTCTTCCAGATGTGTGACCAGAAGTACTCATGGATTCAAGCCGCCGAGTGGAGCAGAGCTGACTGGAGGTGATGATGTGTGGTCACTGTCCGTGTGTGTCCACCTGTTGCCCGCTCCCCTCCAGGTCACCCAGAGGGCTGTGTGGTAGCCCTGGTTCCTGAGTGCAGCTGGGTGCGAGCTTGTGCATCCTCAGAATGTAGGGTTAGATAAGCCCTGGACATCTCAAATAAGGGTAGAAACCCACTCGTTAGTCATACCTTGTTTGTTAGAATCTTTTAGAAACTTGATTTGTGAGAACTTTTTAGTTAAATTTCTTAGCAAAAATGTAAATTTATGTAAAACAAGAGTCATCTTTAATATATTATGAGGTAGTAAAGGTGTTTAAAAGTATGATCAGAAGGGTTATACTTCTCTTTAGTACTGCTTCGTTAGAGACATTTGCAGTGAAGGTAAGTTTATAAATAAAATATGAAACAGATTGGACATTTATCCCCTCCTTCCCCCCTGCCATGACTGTGACATCCTTCCCAAGTGACAGTTCAGTGAGGACAGAGCTGCTTGAAACAGCAGGAGACCCCTGCACAGAACCCAGACTTCCTGGGTGCCAGCGCTGTTGTGGGGAGTTAGAATTCATGCACGCATGAAACAGACAACCCCATCTGCATGGAGGGGGCGTCAGAACCGCAGAGGCAATAGGGAGACATCCATGGAGAGCTATGTTTGTGTCAGGGCTGCAAGATGGGGCTGCACATGCAGTGGGCATGGAAGACCCACCTCAGGCTGTGCAGAGCCCTCAGGCGGGGAGGTCCCCAATGTTTCCACATGCCGCAGAGAGCCCAGGCCGAGGTGTGCAGGGGAGGAGGCAGGTGCAGGCCAGCCTAATGGGCCTGGTGCGCCATTGTCCGGACTCCAGCCGAGTGAGACGGAAAGCCAGCCTGAATGAACCTTTATGATTGGACCGTTGGCATGCGTCTCCTGGCATAGAGGGAGCCAAGGGTTGTTTATGACCAGGCTGCTAGTTTGATATGATTTTAGACCTGACTGCCTGTTCTCTTTAAGCTTTCATCCCCTTTTCTATTAAAGGATAATTCTTGTCTTACCTGCCTCAGGTGACCTATAAAGGTAAAAGTGAAGCCATGAGAGGTGTAATAATGGAGGTCCTTAGTGGTGGTTATCAGCTCCCATGAGTGTTTAATTGTAAGAAAGTTCTTATCGAACTGTGTCCCTGTAGATTATTCTGATCCCCTGCTAGTACTGCATCTTGTCCCTATCTCTCTAACAGGGTGTGACACACACAAGGTTGTGAACACAGGTTCTTTTCACACGACTCCAAACACGTCGCTGGGAGTGGTCCAGGCAACGCCGTCCATGGGGCAGCCATCCCCCACCGTGCACACGAAGGAAGCCTTAGGTGAAGCTGTGCTCGGGTATGGCCCCTGACAGCAGGCGCGGGGCAGGCCTCCGCAGCCTGCTTATACTTCTTTCTCCTTCTCAGGCTTCATCATGAATGTGTTCCAGGCTCCTACACTGCCTGATGTGTCTGATGACCAAGATGAATGGCCATCTCTAGATCAAAATGAAGATGCATTCGAGGCCCAGTTTCAAAGTAAGAACAGCTTGTATAAGAGCTGCTGAGTGCATAGCATTGTGGGTGGTTGCTGCAGGGAATGTCGTAGGCAGGAAATGCGTGGGATAGAAAATCCAAGAATGGTTGACAAGGTGCTCAATGTGCATCATAGATCTGCTTTGTTTCTTAGAAAATATAGTGTAAAGAAGGACAAGGTCCCCATGGAAGCGAATGGCCTGCAGGGCTGAGGACTTGAGGTCTGGCTTTAGCTTCTCCTAGATGAATGGCAGGGGTGGGGACGGAGAGCTGGGGCCGGCAACCAGCCCCTGTCTGCCTGGAGTTGGTGCCTGTTGGAAGCCAGAGGGAGACTTTGGTCAAGCTGACCTGACCCAGTTAGACTCAGGAGCACTCAAGATGGAAGGCTATGAGGTCTTCCTTATACAAAGTAGGAAACAGCCACAGGAGCTGCGTTCAGCAAGTTGGGTGATGACGGCAATGTTCTGGCGGGTGATGATGAATACCATGTAGCAGGAACTCGAGACAAGAGGGCAAAGCCTTGTGACCACAGTTAAGTCTCTTCTTCCCAGTACAAATTACCTAGTATTTGAAAAGCCGATACCACTACTTTCCTATAAGCTCTTATTCCACCTTTTTTATTTGTAGTTGAAGTTTAGCATAAAAGATGATGTTTTTACCCAATGCAATAATTAAATGCTATTTTTTTCTCTATTGCAGAAAATGCAAGTTCTTCTGGGGCTTGGGGCGTCAATAAGGTTATCTCTTCTTTATCATCTGCTTTTTCTGTGTTTGAAGATGGAAACAAAGAAAATTATGGGTAAAGAAACAGCTGGTTAAAATCATGTGGCGGGAGATACCTGGTCATGGTGACGTGGAATGCTGCACAGCTTCCTCCGGGACTTGCAGTAGTGAGGTGGCAAGAGAGGGGTCTGGCTTCCAGTCCCAGCTGTAGGACCTTGCTAAAGGTCCTTTCCAGCACTGCTGGCTATCTAGGCACTAGATAGCTAAAGCACATGGTGGACAAGGAAAGGGGTGCAGAGAACTGAGGGAGTCTGTGGGTCTGAACCAGTGTTAGATGCGCCTGAGTTCACCAGCCCAGGCATCTATGCATGTTCTGTTATGTTTGCAGGCTTGGTCAAGTAGAGAAGGAGGTAGCTTAGGTGGGGTCGTGATGCAGAGAGAATATGTGTTAAGGGTGAGGGCATTTAGAATTTTGCAAATCTTTCCTTAGGTTACCCCAGCCTAAGAATAAACCCGCAGGAGCCAGGACCTTTGGAGAACGCGGTGTAAGCAGATTTTCCCCTAAACCAAAGGTAGGTCAAACTCCCTTCACCCATGAAATGGATCTTCTCTTTGTTTTAGCAATAGTTGTCCAGATAAAGGAGGCGGTGAGTGTAAGAGCATGCTGAGAAACACAGTGTCATATGAAGAGTGTATGTAGAGACATTGTCCTACAAGTTACCTGAGTATCTACTTGTGCCAGGCACTGCAATAGGTACAGAACTTGAGAAGGAATGTGCTGTGATCCTCGCCATCGTGGGCCTTCCTGCTAGACAAGAGACCCCATGGGGCACGCATGCCTTCAAGGCCTGGGAAGTGAGGCCATTAGATGGAACTGAACTGGAGCAGTCCGTTGTCAGACACCTCAGCAAACAAGCATCGCCTGTTCACTGGCCCGCCACATTCTTGGTGACGGTGGCTTTTGTGTCAGCCCATACCCACTTGCATTCCAGCCCTGAGAGTTTGCAGGCTGCCTTCTCTCCATCCCTGGCCTGGCTCTGCCAGCATGTGTTGGAGTGTGCGGGAAGCCTGTCACCTCAGCCATGTTCTCACCCCATGGTGGGTTCTGCTAAGTAAACTGTCACCCAGCTCTTGAGTCCTGTTGAACTTTTTGACATTAAAGTGGGCTGGATTTCAGATATAATAGCATTGCTTCTTAGGTGCATTTTACCGACTATTCAGCTTTGACTGAAAACCTGTGCTAGGTTTCCCGCTTGTCCTGGCGCTGAGCAGAGGCCAGTCGCTTTATCCTGTGTTTGCTCCCCTGGCGAATGACCAGCCAGCTTTGCCTGCAGTGTCAGAAGAGACAAAGTGTAATCCGTGAAGACCGCGGGGTGTAAACCATGACGGGCGTTTTAGGGTCAGCCAAAGGGCTTTGGGCAAGTGCGATTCTGACTCGGCAGTTTCTTCCTTTGTCATAGACTCTAAAACTGGACTTTTGTGTTTTTGGATAAGTAGCTAATTCTGGGGCTGGAGCAGGAGAACTATAAAGGAGCTGGGAGCATCTCGTTGTGCCAGAAAGGAAGGGATGAAGTGCTTCACAGGGGCCACCTGAGTGGCCGGTGGCCACACCTGGACAGCGTGAGCAGGAAAGAAGTAGCCCAGAGTGGCATCAGGTTGTAAAGCAAGAAATAAAATAAATATCCGTATTGCTACACATGCGTGGGAGAGAAAGGACAAAACATCCTTACAGAAGATCCAAGTCAGGGAGAGAAATGTGTGCCAAGAGAAAGCAGCCATTAGAGCCACAGTAAAAGTCGCAGCAAGAGCCACGGGCGAGTCTGAGAATTAGCGGGCAAAACTATAAGAGGAAAGAGGACATTCATGTGGCCAAATTACTTTAGTTACTTTGTTCCCAAATTCTTTGGTATTTCTCTGACCCGAAGGTGAAGCTCAGTTCTCCTTCCTCTGAGGATAGCCTGGACTTAGTGACCTCCTTTTAACAAGCAGAGGATGGAAAGCGGAGAGCCAAGCCATTCGGTGCAGGAACCTGGCAGACACCACTTTGACTGGCTGACCAGTGAAAAATTGACTTGATGTCTTATGTCACCAAACATGATGTAATAAGAAAGGGTACTTTACCCCTGATGCTAGTCCCTAAAATCTATAACCCCAGTCTAATCCTGAGAGAACAGCAAATAAACCTAAATTGGAGGACATTCTACACAGTTCCTGGTCAGGATTCAAGAGCATCAGTGTGAGAAAGACTAGGAACAACCCGTGACCTGGCATGGCCTGCAGAAGGCTAAGGAGGCGTGACAGCTAAACACAGTGTGGCATCCAGGACGGGGTCTGAGAAGAGGTACCCAAGTGGGAGGGTGAGGAAACCCAAACGATGGCGTGGTCACTAGTGCCATGTAGTTCCCTGGATGTTAGGGCTCTATAAATGTTACCCTAGAAGTCCGCCCAAGGGCATGTGGGAGCTCCGTGCTATCTTCGAGATTCCTCTAGATTTTTCAAATGAAAAGACCATGTGACCCTTGTGTACGGTGGAGCCCACTGGGGTATGACAGGGTCTAATTCTGGGGGAAAAAATGACAATCACGACGTCGTCAGCTGGGTGGTTGCCAGTGCTATGTCTGTTTCTTCTTTAATTTCTCTTTTATCTTAAAAGTTGTAACATGTTAAATTTCATGACGACACAGGGGGCTGGCTGCTTTTTTTCAGCTCATCTTTTGTTTCAGGAAGTGCCATGTCCTGAGGAGTTTCCTGATGACTCAACTGTCTGGGGCGTCCGCTGCCCCAAGATGCTGGCGCCCAGCCCCAGGAGCCCAGGAGGCTTTACATCCGCCGCACGGCTTGCATCCACGCCTTCCCATAAGCTTCTGGTGGGCCCAGTGCACGCTCTAGAGGACAAAGGTGTGTGACACTGCTCCTATAGGGTGTACATTTATTGTACAATTTACCACAAACAATAAGGTCACTGTTGACAGATTGCATTAGTTGAAGGCTAAAAATAATGCACATTTGTATTTTCTAATTTGATAAAAGTAACAAATAGTAAATTTTAGTTCTTGATATTTGTCTGCAAACTTCATTACTTTGGAGATGTAGCAAAGTACTAATTCAGAAAATCATATCCTCTTATTTGTTAGTGATCTAACTTCAAAAGAGTAATGAAAAACTCACAAATAGCCCTTATTTCCCCTAGACGTGACCCTTAATGTATGATATCGACACTGGGCGCAGCCATCATTAAGGACCAGCTTATAGAGCATACCTGTGAGACCCAGGCCACCGTCCCATTTTGGTGACTGCTGATTTACCTGCCAACTCTGATCTCACTGGCACCTCTGTAAAAAATAGCACTATCCACCATAGCATGCCCACAAGTCACTCCCCAAGGCAGAGGCACAGCTGAGCCCTAGACTTAAAATGTTTCACAGCTTGGTATGTTTCTCCTGAATTTTAAAGGAGAGTCCCTTAAAACTTGGACAACTGCTAAATGCTATCACAAGCTTGCCACTTCAATAAAGAAAAGTTTTTGAAGCTTTTTCTAGTCAAGAAAACTAGTTTAATCAGTCCAGAGTCTTTCAAAACAGTCAACATGCCACACTTAGAGGATTTGCCATTTTGGTTGTATCAACAAAAGCTAGTGTTCTAGGATGAGAAGTGTGAGCACCTGCTCGGTGAGGCAATACCTGATAAAATTTACTCTGGGGTGGTGCTTGCCATGCGTGGTATTGAGCTCACCCAGTAGTTTATTCCATGTTTCTGCCCTATCTGGTCTATCCGTCAATAGTCATTGTCATTGTTTTAAATTTAAAGGATGATGAGTATTCCCAGGGATCTTTGTGATGTAACACTCCACACCAATCAGCTAAACACCAGTAGACTGACGCAAAGTCAACATAACCTCTGCCCTTCAGAAGCATGTCAGCCTTTCATTCTTCATGTCTTTGTCATCAGGTTCTCCCAAAGCAGGGTGTGGCCTGCCACCCACACTAGTGCTCTCCCATGGTCTGGGCATCCTGCCCACAGTGACCAGGCCCTCTCCAGGCCCTGTTCTCTAGAAGGATTGTATGGACTAGATGTAAACAGTTGAAATGCTTTTACATATATTAGTAGTAGGATTTTTTAAGTCATCCCCCCGCCCCATTTTTAAAAGTTTACAGCACATTTTACCGTGGAACACTATTTTGAAATTAAAATGCAAGTCAGTATAAAAAGGAATCCTGGACTTTATAACCATATAAAATATGTGTACGTACACATGTGTACATAATGTCGGTCTCTAATTTTCTATATATATCAGAAAACGTGGTAGCAGCACAGTACGCCCATGTGACTTTGGATGCTCGTGAAGGAAACGTGGCGCAACCCTCAGAAGACAGGAAGTTCAGGTACTGTGAGCGCGAGTGTGGCCCTGCCTTTGCGTTTCTCATTAGCTTTTCTTTTAGAATATGACATGGTTCCGACCCTTCAAGGCTGGTAGTTTTTATTCACTAGCAGCTTGAAGGCAGAAGGTCCTCTCTGAATAAAGACAATTTACCTAAACATGGGCACTCGAGCCATGAGCGAAGCAGTGTGGCCACCGAGTCCCTGAGGGCGTGAGCTCCGCATCAGACTCCTCTGCAGGCCCTTCCTGCCAAAGGCCCAACCTGGAAAGACTAGTGCAGAACAGGGCCAACATAATTCCTTCTTCACACCTGTTACGATCGAGAAAATCGGTAACTGTCTTATATGAGAGGAAGATAATAGTGTTTAAGCCTCTTAGGTATCAGTGCAAAATGCAGACTTGCCCTTCGTTAATGCTTTGCAGAAGTAAAATCCCATCATATTTCAAGAGTCTGGTGGATGTAATGGACACTGGAAGTGCCTACACCCTTGAGTGTCTTATAGCAGCGCATGCCCACACTTTCCACAGTGACCCTTTCATTCATCTGCAACAACTGAGTTGTATCTCTGCAACATTTTTTAAAATCTGAAATTATTCCAAAATTAGTTTATTTTTTTAAAAAATATTCACAGGAAAAATGCCTATGTCAAAAGGTAAAAATGCAACCTGAAGTTGCGGGTGTCAGTTCATCTGTGTAGAAGCGTATTCTGTCCACGTGTGTGTGGGTGCTGGCTGTGAGGCTGGGTTTACGTGTGTGGGGCTGTATATGCACTTGAGTCCTGTCGTCATTGGCTCTTCTCTCCAAAGTCACTGCCTACACCGAACCACTGCTCCTTGAGGGAACACACAGCAAGGTCCCTGCAAGTCTCTGGTCACAGCACTTTAGTTAAAGGCACCTTGTTCCATATGTGCTATTGGCTCGCTAGCACTGAGCTCCCAGCCAGCAGCACTGAAATCGGGGCCTGAACAAAGCCCACCAGCACATGAGTTTTCTTCCTGAGGCACGTCCCGGCCTTCCAGCACTCCAGAACACTGGACAGCACTTAAACCCCGTCACTGAGTACACTGCAAAAGGGCACTCAGTGTGAGAGCTGAAATGCGACGGCATGCGTCCTTATTCAACCTCACCTGGGGATGCCTATTGGGTAACTCACATTTTTTGCTGCTCTGAGTGTTTGCAGGTGACTCCAAAAGCATCATGAGTATTGACTTGGGTTACTAAAACATTTAGCATGCAAGCAAATGTGTAAATATGGGGTCCGTGAGTGATGAGCAACTATGCGAGGGTGCATGTGCATCCACATGCATGTGCGGAGGTGTACTGGTGCTAGGTGGGTGGGTTGTCACTTCTTATTCAGTGTTATAAAAGAAGGCATTTTGGAATAAAGTTAAGTGTTCAGTCTTGATGACAGGCCTGACATTCAGGTGACAACTTGGGGGAATAAACCCGTTCCTACATTTCCTACCAAAGAACATCCACTGTCCTCTGCCCCCCAGTTATCTATGTGTTACCAGCTCTTTGACTTATTTTTATTTGCGTCGTACTAGCTGCATGTGTGTTTATCTGAAGAAAACACTTTAATCAACTCTTAGTGAAGCAATTTTGAATGTCATCCCTAGAATGAAAAGGAAGCTGCTCTGTGGGGCTCGATGTGCCTGGACCCGGCAGGCTTGTAACCAAGAGGTGTTTTGTCTCCCTTCTCTCATCCCTTGCGCACGTCCAGCCCAATGCAGGAGGGAAGCCTAGCAGCAGCTGCAGGCAGCGCACTGACCAGAGAGGCAGAGCGGGGCCTGGCGGCCTGCACCCTCACAGACGCTGACCTTGCCACGGCGGCGGGGTGCGCAGACACCGTCACTGGACTTGAGGCAGAGCAGGCACAGCCTCGTTCACCAGGTACAAACAGGTGCTCAGCCTTCTCTGTGCCCTGGAGTAGGACAGTGATCTGGTCAAAGCTGCTCTGGGAGAGCTGGCAGGGCAGGACCTTGAACTCTGTTGGGACAGAGGCAGCTCCACCAGGATGAGCATGCCGCGTCAGGGTGCAGTGCGACAGCGGAGTGCTCAGGATGAGCTCGTCCATGTTAGTGTTCAGGGGCGTCAAATTAACTATGGCGGGAAGTGGGGGTTGGAATCAGAGTCCCTGTTGCATGCCGGTGTCCATGTAATACTGTTGTTCCCAGGTCACAGAACAGTAACAGGCTCGGGGTTACGGGACCCCCGCCCCTGGCCGCACAGAGAGTTTTGCAGTGTGGTAGGAGCACAGTCTCTGCCATGTCCCCCCGCCCCGCCCTTAAGAGGTTATGTGATCTTGACCGAGACCATCTCGCTCCTCTGTGGCCCTCTGTCCTTTCCATAAAGTGGAGGTGAAAGTGGTACCTACTTAGTCTTATCATAAGGACCAAGGAAGGTACCAAACATAAAGTCTTCAGAACGGTGTCTTCCACGCACTTAGCCTTCAGCATGTGTTAGTTATGCTGATCAGTCTTTGATAATGGCCACTAACTTTTTTTTTCCCTTCAGAAATGATTTCTCTTTTGTGGAGCCAAAATATCTTATACATGCACATTGCATGGAGGTAGTATGTGTTAAAGGCAACATGTTTTGTAGACATAAGTGGAAAAGCAATTTAAAGTCTATATCTGGGCATATGTCAGAAGTAACTAACAAATATTCACATCTGCCTTTGAGACGGGTGCTCACGCTGTGCTAGAGGCCAGACCGACAGCCCCAGGGGAGTGAAACTGGTGCCCTGGTGTTGGTTTCATTTTTCTCAACTGAATGTTGATCTAAATGTGTAACTCTAAAATGGCATTGAACCATGTGGAACTAGCCATTTTGACTCTTGAAACTGGTTCTTTATTATTTGATTCAATGCTCTTTAAAGATGAGGCTTTTGAAAGGTTATTTAACACGTATCTCCACTTGTTTTATTTCTAATTCCTCAAGTGCTGAATTTATTTTCTGATTTTGTCTCTATCCCTTTAAGACCTTGCTGTTGAGAATCCGTGGGATGGTGAACTGATTCTCAAACTTCTCTCCGGGCTTCCTCAGCCCTTGCACTCCCATCCAGACGTTTTTGAGTGGCAGTGCAAGCTCCCTGCCATGAAGCCCAAGACCGAGTTCCAGCTGGGTAAGAGCCATGTGGTGATAAGACTTCCAACCCTTGTTTCTCCATGGGGAGCTGGTGGTGACCTGCTGCTCCTAGCACCGCCCCCAGGTGGGCAGGTAAGAACATTACCCTGGGAGTAAACTGAGAACTGGGAGTTCTCAGTAAACATATTATTAAGCCATGATGGGAGCATTTTGACCATCGTTGGGGCTATAACAGAGATGGCAATATCTATCAGATTATAAACTCACATGCAATCACCCACTTCTAAGAATTTACCCAGATGCATATGTTCAAAGTGGCATGTGTATGTAAGGGCAGGTTGGAAGCCACACAGGTGTCACGGGGGACTGCTTAGGTACATGACGGGACACCTCCACAATGACATCAGCTCTGTACTCAGAGGGGATGCCTTCCAAAACATGCCATTAAGTGAAAGAGTAGGCTAGTGCTGTGTGCTCCGTTTTGTTTCCTAGAAGTGTAGACGGTCGTATACATGTTTGATAGTATTAAAACTAATGAAGATGGCTAACTGTTAGTGGGAGTGGACAATGACGGGAGCAAGACTTTGGGCAGTTTATTTCCCCACACACACACACCCCTACACACACACGCACAGTGTCTCACATTAGTGTAGAACGTTTGTTGAAGGCGATGAGCCAGCATTGTTGTGTTAGTAGCTAAAGCCCGTGGTTTATGTCAGGGTCACTCTCGGTGGTGTCCATCCTGTGGTTTTGGACACATGTATAATGATATGTATCCGTCAACACGGTGTCATGCAGAGTGGTTTCACTGCCCTGAAAGTGCCCGTGCTCCACCTGTTCATCCTTTCTTACCTTCACCTGGAACCCTGGCCACCACTGAGCTTTTTCCTACTGTCTCCAAGGTGTTGCCTTTTCCAGCGTGTTATGTTGTGATCGTGCAGTACATAGGCTTTTCAGATGGCTTCTTTCACTTATCAATCTGCATTTAAGGTTCCTCCATGTCTTTTCATGGCCTATTAGCTCTTTAATTGCTGAGTAATATTCCATTGTACAAATGCACCGTCGTGTGTTTATCCATTTGCCTATTGAAGGCCGTCTTGGCTGCTTCCAAGTTTGGGCAACTGTAATAAAGCTGCTGTGAACATTCCAGTGCAGTTTTTATATGGACATAATTTTCTGTTCATTTGTGTGAATATGAAGAAGTGTGATTGCTTTTATAAGAAACTGCCAAGCTGTCCCCAGTGGGATTTGTACCATTGCATCCCCACCAGCAAGAATGGGGGTTCTGCGGCTCCACATCCTCCCAGCGTCTGGAGTCCTCAGTGTTTTTGGCCTTCACTGTGGTGTTCCACTATTGTAGTTTGCAGCTCCTAATGGCATCTGGTGTTGAATGAACATTTTTGTATTTGTTTTGCCATCTGTACATCCTCTTTGGTAGGTGTCTGTTCAGGTCTTTTGCCCCTTTTGTAATTGATTTGTTTGTTTTCTTAGTTTTGAGTTTTAAGGGTTTATTGTATATTTTGAATAATTCTTAGATAAGTGTTTTGCAAAGATTTTTCTCTCAGTCTCTGGCTTGTCTTTTTATTCTATCAACTGCCTTTTGCAGAGCAGAAGTTTTTAATTGTAATGAAGTCCAATTTGTCAATTTTTTCCCTTTCACAAATCATCCTTCAGTGTCGTATCTAACAGGTCATTGGCAAACCCAAGGTCATCTAGATTTTCTCCTATGTTATCTTCTAAGACTTTTATAGCTTCGTGTTTTACATTTAGGTCTGTGATCTATTTTGGCTTAACTTTTGTGAAAGGTTCTGTGTCTAGATTTATTTTTGCGTGTTGACATTCAGTTCTCTCACCATTTGTTGAAAAGACTCCTTTATTAAATTGCCTTTGCTCCTGTGTCAGTGGGCAGCTGGTTGTGTGTGAGGCCTGTTTCTGGGCTGTCCGTCTGTCAATCTGTTTGTCCATTCCCCACCGACATCACAGCATCCTGACTGCTGTGGCTTTTATAGTAAGTCTCAATGTCAGGTAATATCACTCCTCGGGTTCGTTCTTCAGTGTTGTGTCGGCTATTCTGGGCCTTTCCCGCTCTGTGTAGACCCATGAAATAACTTGGTGGGATTCTGATTGGGGTCGTGTCTCTGTCTTTACATTCATGATGAGTTTCTTGTAGACAACACATAGTCAGGTCTTGGGTTTTTATCCACTATGACAATCTCTGTTTTCATTGGTATATTTAGTCTATTGATAATGTAAAGTGACTGTTACGTGGTTGGATTACTATCCACCATATTTGTTTATTACTTTCTATTCATTACCCTTGTTCTTTGCTCCCTTTTTGTCTTCCACTCTCTGCTTTCTCTGGTTTTAATTGAATATTTATGTAATTCATTTTTCTCGTAGCATATCAATTATAGTTCTATTGTTACTTTTTTTAGTGTTTCCCTAGAGTTTACATTTACAACTAATTCAAGCCTACCTTCAGATAACACAGTACCACTTCACAGGTGGTACAGGTCCTGATGACAGAACGTTGCCAGTTCCTCCCTCCTGTCCCGATAACATGGCTATCACTCATTCTACTTATCCTTAAGCCGTACTTACTACATGCACAAAAAGCTTTATTTTATCCCTTTTCCTACACTTTTCTGATCTCAGTTTCTGACCTACCCTGCTTCTCTTTGAAGAACTTTTTAAAACATTTCTTGCAAGGCGGGTGCTGGTGACAGATTCCCTTAATGTTTGTCTGTCTCAGAAAGGCTTTGTTTCCGCCTCGCCTTCAGAGGGGTCATTTGAGTGGACACAGAGTTCAGTGCCAGTTTCTTCTCTCCAGAATACCACACTCTGGACAGAAGTCGCTGTGACTTGTCCTTGCCCCTCTGCAGGTGGTTTGATCCTGGCTCCTCTCAGCGTTTCCTCCATCTCCCCTCCTGCAGCGTGGGTGTCCCGTGGCTAGGGCATAGATTCCCTGGTATGTGTCCTGCATCTGTGACTCAGTATCTGTCACTAATTTTGGAAATTTCTCAACCATTATTACCCCAAATATTTCTTCAGTTTCTTTCTCTTTTTCTTCCTCTTCTTAGCATTCTCATTACACATACTACACTTTTTGCAGTTGTCCCCAAGCCTGGAACACCTTTTTCTTTCTGTGTCTCAGTTCTGGAAATTTTTCTAACACATCCTCAGCTCAGAGACCCTTTCCCCTGCTGTGTGCACCTTGTTGGTGAGCACATGGGAGGGGCGTCCTTTCCATTGGTGTTTCTCTCCAGCATTTCCTCTGGGCTCTCCCCTAGAGTTTCATTCTGTCTGCTAACATGACACAGCTGTGCTTACATGTTGTACTTTCTTCATTAGCACCTTTAGCACGTTAATCATAATTCTCTTCAGTTCCTGGTCTTTTAATTCCAAGATCTTTGCCACATCCATGTCTGATTCTGGTACTCACTCCCTCTCTTCAAGCCCGTCTTCTGTCTCCTAGTGCGCCTCATGCCTTCGATAGAAGCCAGACCTGACTTGCCGGGTCCAAGGGCCTGCAAGAAGTAGGTCCTCAGGAAGGTACGTGCTCATCTGGCTTGGGGTTAGGCTTCTTACTGTTTGCTGTCACTGTAGGTATCAGAGCTGAAATTTCCCTTTGTGTCTTTAATTCTGTCTCCCTTGTTATCTTTGGGTTTCCCTGGGAGTCTGGCCATTGCTGTCACTGCAGACTTAAATATGGTCTGTGACGCCAGCTCTTTCTGTCCTAGTCCGCCTGGTACTGGGCGCCTGCCCCTGGACCACAGCTCTGGCCAGCTGTGATTTTTTGTGTCTACTTCTCTGTCTCCTCAGTTTTGGGGGCAGCAGTTTGCCCTGTGACCTGGGCTCTCTAATGGATCTAAGAAGAATTGTTGAGTTTCAGTTTTTCAGCTTTTTCTTGCTGCGAGGGTGGAGTGATGGCTTCTGCATGCCTCATATGCCAGACGGGAAACTGGAAATCTACTTTTTTATGTTTGGTTTTGCATCTGTGAATTCTTTTTTAAGAATTACCTTAAAAATCTATTACAACTTCACCTCTGTGGGTCTTTCTCCCTAAACCAATAACCCCAATGCTACTGAAAAATATCAAGACAAACCCAGTGTGAGAGATGTTCTACAGCCTACCTGACTAGTACTCTTTGGAACTGCCATGGTCATCAAAAACAAGAAGTTAGGGACTGTCACAGCCCAGCGGAGGCCGAGGTGGCTCGACAGCTGTGTCCTGGAACATTAGTGAAAACTAGCGTTGTCCGAATGAAGTGCAGGGTTTAGATAATAGGATCGTGCCAGTGCTGGCTCTTTATTTGTGACAAGTGTGCCGTGGCCATGTGAAGTCACCAGTAGGGGAGCCTAGGTGCAGAACAAACAGATACTCTCCTATCTGTGCAGCTTGAAAGCTGTACACTGAAAACTATTCTAAAATAAAAGATTTACTTCGATTAAAAACTTTCAATATCTATTAGAAATATTGGTACGATTATACTTTGCCCTTTTTATTCTGATATAAAACACTCGCATTTTTCAAAGGCATGTTAGAGCTTCCTTTAGCACTTTACGGAGAGTTTTTATCTGTTCTTTCTGACGTCACAGCCATCTTGCCAAGTAGGCAGCACAGCTAAATGTGGGCCCACTGGCAAAGAGAAGGTGGCTGCCCAGGTTCCTGCCACCGTGTGACAGGCCTAGCCTGACAGTGCTGCCCGTGCCCTCTGTCGCCATTTAAAGGTGGCGCTGTTTTGTGGCAGGAATTTAACTTTCATGCAAGATGGGAAAAGCATTTCCTAAGGGAGCTATATCCATGTTTATTAAAGCAGTTCAAGCACCAAGGAAATTCTACAAGCACTTCATTCCGACGAAGTCTTTGGTATTTTGAGCCTTTTTTTTCACTCCAACCCCTTTGCCTCCTTAGGTTCTTTGCTGGTCTACATTGATCACCTTCTCGGAGAAGGGGCTTTTGCCCAAGTTTATGAAGTTACCCATGGGGATGTGAAGGATACCAAAAGCAAACAGAAATTTGTTCTGAAGGTAAATGATCTGAGCAGCGCTTTGTACAACATAGAAATGCACTTTAGAACTGGAGTGTGCTGGCCTCTTTTTTCTTTTTTAAGACAGTGACGGTTTCAGTCAGGTCTGTCTTCAGCACTGCCCCACGAGGGCTCAGCACTGCCTTGCCGTTAGTCATGTTGCCACTAGTCACGTTGCCGCAGCAACTGCCCGTGCGGCCTGTCGCCACCCCACATCCTTCAGCAGGGTGGAAGTTGCTTCCTTGCCATCGTTTTCCAGAATGTGAGACTGGATGTGAATGTCACATACCTGGTTTGCAGGTCCAGAAGCCCGCCAACCCCTGGGAGTTCTACATTGGGACTCAGCTGATGGAGAGGCTGAAGCCCAGTGTGCGACACATGTTTATCAGGTTCTACTCCGCCCACTTCTTCCGGGATGGCAGCGTGCTGGTGGGGGATCTTCACAGCTACGGGACGCTGCTGGTAAGACATGGATCCTGGCTTGTGCCTTGCACTGTAGCAGTGGGCACAGATCTCGACTGGAAGTCCCTGTGCTCCTATGCAGCCGGCTCAGGAATCCACTTCCCCCTATTTCTAGAATGCCATCAACCTCTATAAAAATACCCCTGAGAAAGTGATGCCTCAAGCTCTGGTGCTGTCCTTTGCTATCAGCATTCTCCACATGATAGAACAGGTCCACAGCTGCGAGATCATCCATGGGGATGTCAAACCAGACAACTTCATACTCGGGAGCAGGCGAGTGTCACACTTCTGTCGAGCCCCTTCTTACCGTCCCCGCAGGCTCTTGTTGTTCGTGCTCACACAGCCAGGCCCTTGTTTCTGTTCGGTACAGAGTTTTGGAACAAGACAGCGAAGATGATGGTTTATCTGCTGGCCTGGCACTGATTGACCTGGGTCAGAGCATAGACATGAAACTTTTCCCAAAAGGAACTACATTCACAGGAAAGTGTGAAACGTCCGGTTTCCAGTGTACGGAGATGCTCAGTAACAAACCGTGGACCTACCAGGTGTGGAACTAGAGGGAGGGCTTCGAAGGCATTAGCCTCCATTACACCTGCTATGCTGGAAGTGACTCTGCGCCGCCCTGGTCCCGTCCCGGAGTTAGACCATGCTTGAGTGTATATTCGGTTTTGAGTCTGTCCCACAGCGAGAGGCTTTGGAGCACAGTGACAGCAGCGGCCAGAGTCCCAGGGGAAGGGTTGGGAGGCCTTCCAAGCTGTCCCTGTCCAAGGGAATTACTGTCATGTTTGCCTGTAGGTGACCACACAGGGAACTTGGAAGGACATGGTGGCCCATAGAGAACAGAGCTTTCCAAGGGGCTGCTTCAGGGGCAGGGGGTGATCTGTCCCTGGAGGCTTCAGTGGGGCTCATCAGTGGGGTGGTTGAACAGATGGCTTTCACGATCCTTTACAAGTTATACCCTATGATTGTTTACCTTGCCACATAGGTTAGAGAGACATCTTAATACAGTCATGTATAAATTACATAGACCTATAATTTTCTTTATAGATTGATTACTTTGGAGTTGCAGCAACAGTGTACTGCATGCTTTTTGGCTCTTACATGAAAGTGAAAAACGAAGGCGGAGTCTGGAAGCCTGAAGGTCTTTTTAGAAGGTGGGTGTTAGTGTCAGTGCTACATGAAAAAAGAGTAAACATTGTAGATGTTTGGGTTCCATCTGGGGGAAGATGGTCTCTGCCATTGCCTGGAGAACCCATGTCTTGGAAAGCATGATGACTTGACACAGTTCTGGGCTCTGGGCACAGTGAGCAAGTTCCGTGGCTTCACTACTTCTGTCCCCACTTGTGGCAGTAGGGCAGCCAGCGCCCTCACAGAAGCAGTGGAAGCTCCAGGCTAAGTGGCTGGCATCCTGTGCACACCAATCACCTGGTGTCACCAAGCCTGTGGTGCTTGCTTGTTTGTCTTCTTGTCTCTGTGACTGGAGCAATGATGGCCCTGCTTCCCAGCGTCTCTTAGAAGAAGCAAAGGGAGTGATACATGTGGAGGGGCTTTGTAAGTTATGAAGTAATAGGATGAGGCAGCCATCCATCACAGGAGAGGGTTTTAAGTCCCATCCCTGTATGACTAGTGTTTCTTACACTGTTCTGTCATCTGTGGTGATTAGAGTAGGCCTCTCCCATCCACGCAGATGGCTTTCCCAATGCAGTGCCGTGTGACTAGACTGGCAGTGTTTGAGCTGAGCTTTTGGCACATGTATGTTCATTATGTCATTTATACTTTGTCTTAATTGTCTCTGAGGTATAAAAACATACACAGAAAAGTGTACTCATCTTAAGTGTACAGCCTAATGGGTTTTACATACCCAGACAAGAAAAGAAACAGCGGTAATTTTCTAAAATGTAGTGTCTGCACATAAATAAGCTAGATTCAGGCCCCAGAGGAAAACTTACAACAACTATGCTTTACTCTGCGTGACAGACAACACGTTTAGCAGCCGCTCTGATCCTGTTCCTGACGGAAGGCCCAGCCCGTGCTCAGAGGCTGCCATCTCCAACCACCTGTGGGCACAGAAACCTGTTGCCCTCGGCCACATCATAGCAGCAGGCTGAGCTTCCTGTCTGGAACAGGGTCTACCTACGTTCTTCCTGTCCCAGTGCCTTATCTCCATGTTCTGGAGTTTCACAGCAGTTGGAACTCAGTTCAAGCTCGGTTCTGGACAGTCCCTCCCGTCCACCTGGTCCTGGCACATCTACGAGGAGGCTTGTCAAACCCTTGGCATCACTACAGCACATGCAGCTAGCCAAAACATCTGTTTTAAAAAAAAAATTAAAAGTTTTCCCACTGCCAAGCAATTATTGAGACTACTTATCTTGAATCACTTCTGGGGAACAAGGTATATATACACTTTTAAGTATATCTTAATTTCTCTTACTCATAATGAATTCAACATTTCTATTCTTGATGCCTTAAGCTGCGCTTGGGTGAAAGTTGTTAATTCAGCTGTCCGGGCCTATGGAGGTCAGATGCAGCAGTGGAGTTGTTCTGGGTTGTCCCACGTTGTCCCATGTTGTCCCACATGCTGAACGCTACATTTTATCCTCTATTTGCGCTTTTTCCTCCAGGCTTCCTCATCTGGACATGTGGAATGAATTTTTTCACATCATGTTGAATATACCAGATTGTCATCATCTTCCATCTTTGGATTTGTTAAGGCAAAAGCTGAAGAAAATATTTCAGCAGCACTATACAAACAAGATTAAGACTCTACGTAATAGGCTAATTGTTCTGCTCTTAGAATATAAGCGTTCTCGAAAGTAAGATATGGCACTCCCAGAAATCCCTTCGGGAATGCTGGCCTGCCCACTTCGAGCTTAGTGTCTCCCTGTTTACTGTTTATGTAAATGTTTCTTTCTGAAATCCGCAAAGTATATCCATGTGACCATTTAGTTGTTGTCAATAGTTAAACAAAACACACGTGATAACGGTCCCTGTGTCGCAGGTGAACCATGCTGCTCTGGGGACACAGGTATTTGTGAGAATATCTGGATGTGAACATACTCTAAGTTTCACTTTTAAATACTGACCTGTTCACTTAGAGCCAAAAAAGGGCAAAGACAGCTTTTTTTCTAAATTTGAGGGTTTGTATTTGTGTAAAATAAAAATTCCCCAAATATATTCAAGGGACTCAAGTTTTTATGAATAAAGATTGTCTTTTTCTGCCTGTTCTTCATTGCTATCTATGGGAAAGGTTAAAAGCGAAAATCTGAAGTCTCTTTATTTTTTAGAAGTGTCATTCAAAGGAGAATCTCACATCTTGAAAGTAGTCTTATAAGCTGAGGAAATCATTAAATTGGCCCTAAAATCGTAGCAGCCAACTTAGCATGTATTGACTTAGAGCTGGGGGCTGGGTCCTACAACCTGAACTGACCTACCACCCTAGCGCCACCCCGCTGCCATGGTCCCCATCCCACAGGCAAGCACAACTCACTTTTTGTGAACCTTCCCAAAAATGATTCCATGCATTTTTCTATGTATTTTTGACACAACTAGCATAATTCTGCCTTCTTCCACTTAACACATAGGGAAGAGTAACTACAACATAGCACATTCTCATTATCAGTGGTGTGAGATGTTTCGTTATACATTGTATCTGTAATGTAATTTTGTATCAATATTGGCAAACAGCCCTGTTGGGGACAAACACACAGCCTTTGTCCCCCACAGCCTAGGCTCTGCCACCCTTGCCTCTCTGACAGGTGAAAAATGGGATTTTTCTCATGATCTTTGCTTGCATTCTCTTCTGAATTAGGCCAAATGCATTCATACATTCAAGAACTGTGTGTTTCTCCTTTTTCTGTGAACTTTGTCCACATCTCATTTGGATTGTTCTTTTTCAGGGTAAGTTGTAGGAGTCCTTGGTATATGAGTTGTAAATATTTGTCATGTCTTAAGATCTCTGTTGCCATGAAATTTTAAACATTTCTGTGTTATACATTGATTTATGAAGTTTTAAATGGCTTTTTGGGGGTCTTGTGTCAAAATGCCATCAATTGAGAAGAAAAGTAATTTTTTAATACTAGTACTAATTTAAATGTTTAGGACTAAACTTTTGGTTGCTATTTTAGATTTAGTTTCTTCTGTTTTTTCTAACCGGTATTTTGAATATATGAAGCCTATTCATTTCTATAAAAAGCTTTTCAGTTGATTCTTTTGAAATTTCCAAATAATTAACTGTCACTATAAAAATGCCTATGTCTCTTCTTTTCCCAATACATGACTTTTATTGCATCTTTAAAATATCACAAATAAGTCTGAGGAATCACCTGACATCTTGGTGTTTTGGTAGCTAGACAGCTCTTATTCATCAGTTTGTTGAACTAACTGTTCCTTTTTCAGAAACAGATACCATCCAAAGGTTTTCTGATAGCCTTGTTTTAAACTGTCACGGCTTGTTGAATCAAAGCGGCTGAATTTGATACAAGTCCACTGTCATTTCCTTTAAGAATTAACCTTTCTGGGCCCGAGATACTGAACAAGCAACGCCTGACCTCATCTGAACCCTGTAGTTGTATTTTTCACCCAAGAAATCTCAGATTTCACTAAGAGAACCATTCTGAATAAGCATTGGAGAAGCACACACACAGACGTCACCTTTAACGGAAGCCAGTGAAACATCCTTGGTCGGGTTCTGCACATGACTGCACAGTCCCCAGACCTCCCTCCAGATAAGCCTGGGCTGAGAGGGAACATCATGCAGCACTAGCTCTGGACGGTTCTCAGTTCTGACCTGTATTACCTTGAGCAGCCATCTGACGTCCCTAAGCCTCTGTTCTCATCTCTACAATGCATGCAGGATGGGTGGGGGGTGGGACTGGGCCTGGGACCACAGACCCTGTGATGGATGTGCCAAAAGCAGCCTGGAGGAGATCAGGGAGTCAGGTCTTCTTGGGGAGTGAGGGGAGGGATTGGCAGGGGGCGCGCTGAGGGTCCTGGGCTGCCACCCCCTCCCCAGCTACTGAAGGGCACCCCCAAGTTCTCTGCCTCAGAGGACAGGTTCATTGCAGTATTGTGAACTTGGGCCAGGAGCAGACACAGCCCCTCAGAACGCTTGAGACTTAGAGGTTGAAGACACTTTCATAAGCATGACAGCTACCACTGAAACTGGGTATCTAAAAATGGCACTTGGCTGGGCCACTTCTTGCCCCAGGGCAGTGGCTGCCCGGCTACAATTTGGAGGAAGATCCCTCTTGCTGAGGTTTCTTTTGACCACATATTTGGAACTTGTAGTTTTCCGGTTCAGTCTCAGGAGCCACATCGGCTCTAAGTGGGGAAGCGCAAGTCGAGGGATGGGACCTTGGACATGGAGAAGACAAAGTCGTCTGCAAATGGACCCAGCAGGCAGGACTGGCCATGCCCAGACCCTCTAGGGGGCTTCATGTCCACCCTTTAACGAGGTCTGAGGCCTCCTGGGATCTGGCCCGGAAACTCCCAGTTCCTTTTCCTGCAGGTTTCTTCTAGGGGGGAAGATTTGTGACACAGAACTTGGGACTCCGGCTGGTCGCATTCATTCAACACCACCACTCCCCAGGCACTGGGCGTCCAGCCTCCCCGCCCTGCCTTGTACAATCTGCTTAAGACAGAAACCTCCTGGAGCCCCAGCCTCTGTCAACTGCGTTGTGGCCACCCCTCCCGGGCTGGGACCCAATGGGGCAGGGATCGGTTCTCATTTGCCAGGATAGTCATGTACATCCTCGGCCAGGGGAAGCCCCACACTTGCCTTTGCTGGCCAGGGTGACTCCCGGGGCCACGCGGTTCTGAGGTCCATTGTCACACATAGCGTGTTGTTACTGACTTGTCCTAAAGGGGCAGCTGGGCCCAAGCCCAGAAAGCTTATAGCCCCTGGGACGGCTGTGCTCTTGTCCACAGGCTTGTGCTGTGCTCATGCCCCGGGGGCTACGTGGGAGCCTTGTCTGTGGGGAGCTGTGACAGGTGAGGCCTGGGGAATGGGGATCCAGCAGGGAAATGCCAGCACACTGATGACCCGTGGGCATGCGTGGACTCAGCCTTCCCTATTATGATACTGAAATGCTTCCCATCTGGGTGGATACAGTCGCTGCTCTGAGCTCACCCCAAGTCCGCACTCCATAATCTGGAGCTGAGGGTGACCCCTGGCCTTTCAAACATCGCCCTCTGGAAACATCCTGCAGAAGATGAGTGGCTGGGCAATTCTGAGTTGTCCCCTCCATCCGAAGACTGCAAGTGTCATTCAGACACACAGCAGAGGCTCTGCCTGCAAGGCCTTCTGTATGCAGCCAGGGACCGAGGATAAACCCTGATTCCCAAGCCCCTCCGGTTATGGCACAGCCCTCTAGGACCACGATCTGCTAAGGAAACAGGTCAGTCTAAAACTCCAAAGAGGTAGACACGTGCCAGATTCCAGGGCTGACCGGGGTTGGGGGAGGCAAGGGTGCCTGGGGCTTTCCATTGCAGGACTGGGTGTTCTCCAGAACCAGTCCTGCACTTGGCAACAATTGTAACTCTTGTGCTTGATGATGTAGCCAAGAAGGAACAACTTAGTATGTCTTTGGGCCTCCACTGGAGAGACCCACATTTGCAGTGAGGGTCACGTGTCACTCTATCTGGTTTCTTACATTCTCCAGCTCCGAAATCTATTTGGTTTTTTTTTCTTTTTTTTTCACGGTTTTTATGTGTTCTGTTTCTGTCGGGCTTCTCCCTTTGTTCCTGCACTTTTCCTCGTGTTACTGGATGGCTCATTTGTGTTCCCTGCCAAAGTCGTCCACTCTCTGAGCGGCTGCAGAATATTGAGCCCTCTGCACTAGACCGGACAGCCCATTTCACCCCCTGGGTTCTGCCTTTCAGTCCGTGTTAGAGGTTACCCACCGAGCAAGCTGTCAGAGCTCTTCGTACCCCTGAGATGTAACTGTGCAGTGTCTGCATGACAAACTCCAACGACTCATTCCACCTAATCCAACTGTATGTTCCTTCCGCCATCATCCCAAACCTTTGATGTTCCATGGGCCTTGATTTTCCTCCACTGCTGTTGTGTGAGCTCGGGGAGGGGTGTGGCTAGTTTGGAGAGCTGCCAGTATCATCGTAGGTGGCATTTTGTACCACACACGTGGGACCTGCCGGGAACTAGACTGCTAACAGCTCTGGAAGCTTAGGGGGCCGGGGCTGCAGATCCTGGGCGGGACTGTGGAGCAGGGCAAGGCAACTGCCAGGGGTGACCACAAGGGACTCCGCAGCAGCTGAGCTAAGATCCTCAGGCGGGGTGGTATTTCCTTTTCTGGCAAAGCAGACTCTGCATAATACTGGAGTTTGATGTCCTCTCTTAATTGAGAGCCACCCGTACGTATGTTCCCACTCTGATTAGCAGGACCCGTGTCTTCTGAACCAATGCCGTCACTTTCACAGCCGTGTGAATGGGACTTGATTTTGGTTGTGACTCAGCCACCCGCGGGATGAGATTCTGTTAGGTTTCCAGGAATCTCAGCTCTGTAGCTATGCAGAAGTTTCCTGCCTGTTAGGTGATGCTTGTGTCTGGGATTGGATGCCTTGAGCTCACCTTTTTCTTTCCTCACTTAATCAAGAGCAATTCTGAACAATAAGCTAATTACGTCACATTTGTTAGTTTGTAAAACAAGATCTAAAATATCAAGTTTATGGTCAACTAGAACCTTTCTTAAGTGAATATTTGCTTAGGAGGACTCAGTGATGATCCTTCTTGCATCTCTATTGCCACATTGTACCCTGGACTGTTATGCCTTCTTTAACACTGGAAATATGGTCACTAAGGCCTTTGAATTTAATCAGATTAGAGAACCAATTCCAGAAGCCCCAAAACCGTTTGAAAAAACACATCTTTAAAATTCTGTTCCTCTAGAGCTATCCTCTTTACCAAAATCTGCATCAGAGATTTCTTGAGAGAAAAAGAACATGTATCTCTATAACACGAACATACATGTGCGTACATATATGCATGCATGTGCGCATATACATAAGCACATGCACAGAGAAACACATATGATGAGATTTGTTTCATGAGGTGATTTTTGTCCTCATGAGGCTGGCAGGTCTGACATGTATAGGGCAGGCCAGCAGGCTAGCCACTCAGCCAGGTTTTATACTGTGATGTGAGGATAATTTCTTCACCAAGAAACCTCAATTTTTTCTCTTAAGGGTTTTGGCTCAGTAACAGACACAC